GCCTCTGTCTAGCAGAGCTACAAGGACATCCAGCTGTTCCGAAGGCAGGATGATGTTTATGATTCCAACACGCACAGATCAATACTGATTCTCTAGCCTGTTCTCAGACGGTAGTTGTTGGCCAATCAACCACCCATGTAGACAAACCCATGTATCTCCTGTCTGTGTAACTGCACTAAAATGGCTAGGAACACAGTTAGCAATCCCTAGTGCAACATAAAGCACTATATGAAGACACAGTTACCTTCAGCCAGAGTTTTAATTGTTTGGAAAGATTCACAGGCTACCTGACTGAAAAGAGGAATAAAGTAAATATTTCCAATGTGAGAAAGCTTAAATTCACTAGGCCCACAGTATAGTACTATTAAATAAATTTATGGTTTAAAATTTTCTAATGCCTAGTAAAAGAAATTTTTATTTCTCGTCTAATTTTAATCTCAAAGTCCCTGAACCATTCCCTTTGTTGTAGTCAATTTCATTTTGTCTGTGACTGACTCCCCAGATGACTCTAGGGGAAGTAATTTCCCAAATGTTGATTTTTCTCACCAGCAAAGTAAGAGGAGTATCCAGTCCATTGGCTAGCAACCCTAACGGTGAGAAAGAAAAAAACTGTAAACTGCCCAATTTTATGAGAAAATTGTTTTTGACCTTACTTGTCCACAACTTAATCCACAAAATAAGTCATCTACCAAGTCAGTTGGAAAACGAGTAAAATTAAATAGGAGAGAAACACAATTTACAGGGTGAAGGATGCATGGCCCAGAAGGGTGGGAGAGAAATGAAAGGTGTACTGCAGTGGAAGTATGAGAGCTTCCAGGAGTGTAAGTAGAAAAGCCAACTACGGATAAAATATATTTGGAAGTAAAAAGGGAAACTGGAAAACAGTAGGGACACTTAAAAAGCTACCTGCGGCTTCATGAACTTTCCTTCCATCAAGCTTTAAAATTACAGTTGTTTCTGAAACTAACATCCAGATCCCCTTGGATGAATTTTAAGTTTTCCAGAGCTTTTATCATTGCTGTCTGGAAGAGGAGGAAGGGATGCGATAAAAAGAAAGAAAAGAAAAAAGAAAACAAAGAAAGAAAAAGATGCTATCATACAGGAAATGAAAATAAATCAATTTTGGGGTGGCATCTGCTACTTTCCTTTTAAGGTCACAACAGTAACAATATTAACTTTTTATTCAATAATTTCATATGATGACAAGCATCTTTACAAAATTAACCATATTACCCACTATAATTAGCTCTCTTGCAAGGTTAAATAATATAAAACTGAAAATTACTGGGTGATTACACTACAATCATACCAATTCTAAGCTTCTGAATAACAAACTACATGGACACTTGGCAAAGGAAAACAAAATGAGAACAGAAGCAATGAGTCGGGGGACTAGAGGACTAAAGCTGCCATAAACAGGGACCCTGATTAATAGCAGGTTATGATAAGTATACATCTGAAGTTTCAACTGGGAATTGCTGCTACCCGAAAACTATGTACTTCCATTGCGGAGTATATGCCTTGGGGCAAAGTTAATTGCAGGAAATTTCACAAGTAATTCCCTGCTCCTTAACATATTATATAGTAGAGGTGTTGAAACAAGTTTCGGCTGCCAGGCTAAGCCTTTTGGTTTTCAGTTGAGTATATGTGTTAACACGCCAACTTTCTCCTATTAGTTGTTTTATATTAAATTCGTTTTTTTTTTTTTTGTCCTCAGAACTAAGATTCTCTGAAGAATCACAGCAGGAAACTGAATGACTCCAATAAATTCACCAATTATAGATTAACTTTCAATGCCAGAGGCTTTAGCAGTTCGCAGTAAAAATTCAGTTTCCATCTCAGGATCAGGGAAGTCTAAAAGAACTTCAAGGTCATCTGTACCAACCATTTCTGTGTACTTTTATATCAATTATAATTACCTGTTCTAAAACTTTCCATGAACAAAAATGAATTTTCTTGAGTAGAAGTTTGGGTTTGAGCAAAGTGTCAGAACAGTTCTCCCATGCTGAGTAATATAGGGCTTGAATTCAAGACCCTGGGGTCAAGAGTTAGTCGCTTAACTGACTGAGTCACCCAGGTGGCCCATGAGTGTATTTCTGACTACACTCTAATAATACTCCTTCTTGGGTTCCTGCACTTACCTACGTTTTAGTCTTGTCCACGTTTACATATTATGGAACACTGAATGGTAACTCATACACATGTAGTAGGGAAACAGAAGTTCACTTCGACCAACGTGATTTAATCCTTGTTACTAAGTGCTTCACAAAGGAAAGCTTTCCTAACATTCTACAGATGTGATGAAATCTTAAGTCATGTTGGGCTTCTGCTTTCAAGTTCTGTTCTGAATCTCATACAGCCAACGGAAGTAAAGTAAAATGGTATAACCACTTTGGAAAATAGTCTGTCAATTCCTCAAACGGCTGACCAGAGAGTTACCATGTCACCCAACAATTCTGCCCCTAGGCAGACACCCAAGAGAAATGAAAACATTATGTCCACATACAAACTATTCAAAAAAGCCAGAAGGTAGAAACGGCACAATTGTCCATCATCTGACAAATGGATAAAAATGTGATAGCTGTAAAATGCAGTATTATCTGGTCATACAAGGTATGAAGTACTGATTCACACTACAATGTGATCAATCTTGAAAACATGATGTGAACTGAAAAACAAAACAAACAAAAAAAAAACAGTCACAAGAGACCACGTATTATATATTCCACCATTAAAAATTCCAGAATAGGCAAATCTATAAGGACAAAAAGTAGATCAGTCATCGCCTAGGGTTGGGGGCTTCGGGGGTGACAGCTAAGGGATTTTTTTTTTTTTTTTAAGATTTTATTTATTTGAGAGAGAGCACAAGAGGGGAGAAGGTCAGAGGGAGAAGCAGACTCCCCATGGAGCTGGGAGCCCGATGTGGGACCCAATCCCGGAATTCCGGGATCATGACCTGAGCTGCTTCACCAACTGAGCCACCCAGGAGCCCCTAAGGGATTTTTTTTTTTAAGGTGAAGAAAATCTATGATGAAAATGTGCTAATATTTGTATACAACTGAGTTTGCTTAAAAGCTATCAAATTACATGCTTTAAATGGGTGAGTTTCACGTGTATGAGTTATAATTCAATAAGCTGTTATTTTAAAAAATCTGTTTCTAAGATGTGAAGTACTTGAGAATCAGCAGATCTCTTCCACAAAGCTTTTCTAGTCAACAGTAAAAGAGTTGAGTCCAATTTATTCTACTGTAATTGGAACCAGCTCGCAGTATTGTTATGTACATTTCTAAAATGTGAATGCAGTTTAAGAAAATACATCATTACATCAGCTATTCCAGGCAGCCTGCCATGAGACATTTTTACCCAAAAAAAAAAAAAAAAAAAAAAAAATCTTAAAAGGAACCCATTTAACTAACCTCGAGTATATGTTCTTTCTTGTTGCCTCATCTCCTTATAAGCCATCATATCCCTAAAATTCTCATGTTTAACAATATGAGGCATGATTAATTCAGTCACTAGCTCAACAAATATCTGAACCCTTATGTACACCATGCACTGTTTGGTATACCAGTGTGTACACATACACACACACACACACAGTCCCTGCTCTTGTGGAGCTTACAATCTAGTAAAACAAGATAAACAATAAATGCTGGTTTTAAAGACAGATTTTTAAAACAGAGTGCTATGCTATGGAGAAATGCTGTTTTACATGGGGTATCTAGGAAAGGAGGCTTCTCTGAGAGATGTCTGAGGGGAGAAAAGAAGGAGCCCAGCCCAGGGACGACAACTGCAGGCAGAGGAAATAATTTTTGAATGGGAGAACAGGAGAAAAAAGCAAAACAAAGCAAAAAAAAAAAAAAAAAAAAAAAAAAAGATTAACCGCGTGCTGCCAGTGACCAGCCTTCTGCCATGAGTCTGATGCACCTAGTACAGGCATGTCAGGCAAGGTAGCTTGCAGATTACGGCTGGAGTAAGATGTCTCCCCACTGTTCGGTAAGAAAAGTCACCTCTGGTTAAGCCCTGCCTACAGTGATCTCCTTGGACCTCTAAGCAGCTGTTCATTATGTGCACCTCCCATTCTTTCACCACACATGGGCACAAGGTGTTGTATAAGGAAGTGTCGGGACATACAGACCAATCACACATGCGCCCCAGTGACCCCTGTGGCAGGAAATCATCTAGTGGCACAAAAAGGCATGAACAACACACACAGGTACAAAGCAAAGTGGGCCACGAAAAAAGGGATATACAATGCAGGAGTGTGCAGAGATTGCCTGCAGCTGGGGCATCAGGGAAGCCTCATGGGGAGGGGCACGAGAGCAGAGTCTGTGACACCTGAGAACTTGGACATGAGTGGGTATACAGATCCGTTTGTTGTATTCCTAATTAAGTATATTTCAAAACATTCTTAACTCTCCAAGTTACAAGCTCAGGGAGAGAAGGCGTGATACTCCTTGTATCTCTCTGTGATACTTAGCATTGTATCGCGATGTATCATGATTCATTTTAAGAAGAGATGTTGATTTCAGCACTGAGGCAAGGTTAAATTATTCTTTGTTTCATAACGAGATTTTGAGCTTCAAAACAGAAGACTCCCAAACCTCTTAATACACCATCTCACTTCACAGGGACATTCCTAGGAGTTTTTCCAAAATTCAAAGGTATTACAAGTGAACAGGTAGACAGTGTGCTTCTGAACACACACACACACACACACACACACACAAATGTTTATATGTGTGTATTTGTAGGTCTGCATTCGCACATCACTACACCTTAAGTGCAGAATCCCACAAGATTATTTTAAACTTCCCCTGCTAAATTGAAGTTCGTATTTCAGAGAAAAATTTTTTTTCACTGATAAAAGTTTCCCATCCAGGCCCTCATCATCCCTTCCCATACCCAACAAAACATCTTAAACCAGAGAAGAAAAGCCAAACAACATTTTTTAGGCAGTGTCTCAACATCTCTAAAAAATATTCCATGGCCAAACTCACCATAGAGAGCTGTCCAAGTTTGATTAATTACATCTAGACACACAGTTCCTGACCTGAAACAGATGGAAAGAATGGCATTTTTTAAAAAATTAGAAAGCTAGTCGCATGTATCTGGCAACTAATTTTACTTATCAAGAAAAGTACCTTTAATAGACCATCAAAAAAAAAAAAAAAAGAAAAAGAAAGAATTCCAATTAGGGAAAGTATGATGAGGAGCAGAATATATACGAAATCTTAAGTGTTTCCTTACAGACTGAAAGGGAAAACCCGCAACTACACAATGGAGAAACCAGACAACACCTTAAACAGGTGCTGAGGATTCACAGGGAGGACCCGGCAGAAGGTGGGGCAGACAACCCTGTGCGCCTGCCCAGGATGTGGCACTTCAGGCCTAACATGCATCCTCTGGCTCTAATGAGGAGGAAACCCCACACAACCCCAAACTGGGGGGCGGTCTTTAAAATAACTGATCTATATTCTTTTAAAATGTCAACTTTAAAAAAGCTGAGGAACTACTCCAGATTAAAGTAGTTTAAAGAAACATGACAAGTAATGCAATACATGGTCCTGGGCTGATGATCCTTCACTGACCGGGGGTGGGGGGGTGGGGGGGGATGGGGGGTGGGGGCGGGTAGTGCCAAAAAGGTACGTGCGGCTGAATGTGGCAGTAGATTTAGTAGTACTGGGCTGTATTCAATTCCTGCATCTGACTGTGCTGTGGTGACCAACAAAGCATCCTTGTGGATCATGCCCCGGTGATGGACAGAGTGTGTGGGGACAATGGGGCATGATGTGTGTGCATGACCCACTCAGAGCTCAGAATACCTCCTGTGTTATGTGTGTAACAGCAGAATTTAGTGCTGTGACGAGGAAAAACTGCGGAACAAAAAAATGTACTGCAAACAGCATCGGAAGTACACAACAGGAGGCACATTTTAAAGCATCACTAATAAAATATTAGAAGAAAAGAAAGGGTAAGTAAGAGTCATTAACTAAATGAAACTACAGCCATTCACATTTGCTTTACTCTCAAGAACCCAGAAACACTTAGGGGCTGGAAACAGTACATTGTATACAGAAAACTGATCTGTGAATTGTGTCCACACAAAGAGAACAGAGCCGTGGAGCAGGGCAAATGCTAGCTAGGTCTCACAGGGAATGAAGGACCCACACACAATGTAAAAACTAAGCAGCCCAACAGCAGGACCTGCACTAGGTGGTTTCGAGTATCAGAACCCTGGACTCCATAGTGTAAGTGGCCACACAGTCCTCTCCGCTGATAAAATCCAAAAAGATAATTGAGAAAAAGATAATTTTTAATAATGGAGAGAGAGAGATGAATGCTAAAAAGAGCAGTTGCTGCTAAGATTTAAACATTTTTAAACAGTTACTTACGCTTCATCAATGTTGGGATGGAAAATTTTATTCATGAATCCTGTAAAAAGAGATGTTAATTAGCAGCAAAAAAGTGTCCAGAGAACAATTCGTTTTTAAGTATTTCAGTACTGGAAACAATTTCAGTATTGGAAAAAGTTGATGATACCCATAACTGATTACTTTTAATCTTATATGCTTGGTTACTGATAAGACGATATATTCTCCTGACAGTGTCAATTACTTAAAGCACATCAGAGTTCTATTAAAAAAATGAGCAAACTTTGAGAGCAATGCAGCTTCTTATATACAGAATAATCATTGAGAGACTTTTCTGAGCTATGAAGGGTACCTGCCAAGAAAATGTGTAGTCCTAAATGGGTTGTAACTGGTGCCGATTCCTTTTATCAGAAAGTTAAGAAAGCTACTCTGACTTCCCTCCCAAAGCTTTTGTTGTTCAATCTCTAAATTTAGAGGTTCTGCATTTGAACTTCTCCTTCTGTGGCTCAGTTACTGGTATACTGCTGGGCTACACTGTGTGCGGAACATGAATGAAGCTGTTGAAAACACTAAAGAAGCATCGCTTCCAATCCACAAAGGATTTCATAAGAACGGTGACCAAAATATTTCCTTTACCTTCAGTCTACTCATTCCAGGAAACCCAGTTTTTTTATTAAAATTGGGGCAACCAAGAAATGAGGCAAGGAGTTAAAAAAAAAAATCTGTCAGATGGCTGTATCTGTCAGGGATTCAAGCTTTTTGATTTATTCTAGAAAAACAAGGAGAGACTTTAACAAATTATGTATTTATAATTTTTTTAAAAGATTTTATTTTTAAGTAATCTCCACACCCAATGCAGTACTCAAACTCACAACCCTGAGATCAAGGGTCACATGCTCTACTATCGACTAGACTTTAACAAAATATTGATGTTTAAGTTCCAAGGAAAAACTAATTTTTTCTCTAATTAAGAATCAGTGATTTGGGGTGCCTGGGTGGGTCAGTGGGTTAAAGCCTCTGCCTTTGGCTCAGGTCATGATCCCAGGGTTCTGGAATTGAGCCCCACATCGGGCTCTCTGCTCTGTGGGGAGCCTGCTTCCTTCTCTCTCTGCCTACTTGTGATCTCTAATAAATAAATAAAATCTTAAAAAAAAAAGAATTACCTTAAAAAAAAAAGAATCAGTGATTTAATCAGTTTATATATATGCAAATGACAATATGCTAAAGAAGAGGACCACTGTCAAAGCTGTCATTTTATCATCCTCATCTCGAGACTTCTTTATGCCATTTCACAATTTCAATAAATTGAAGTTCCCTACTACAGTGACAGTCACTATGTCCCTCCCAATCCCACCCTCTTTCACCCCTCCCCCCGCCCCACCTCCCATTTCTCTTTCCTTCATTCAAAATATACTTGGTTAACACCTGTTTGTCTGGCACTGTGCTGGTTCAGGGCATAAAGGTAGCGAGGCAGCACACTTTCCCTAGGAGGTCACCGCAGTGGCGAGACGGGAAACAAGTCAGTAAGGGCAGAGCGCACAAAGAACTGACATAGTTGAGGGCATGAGAGGGAAAGAGGAAGGTACCAGGAAAGTGCTGAGAAGGGGTATTGGAGAAGGATCCTCAAGGACGAGTTTCAACAAAGGTCATCTTGGAAAAATCTAAAAAATTTCTCTAGACTCAGGAAATAGATATACAAAATCCTGGTTATGTATTTCACTCTTTCCTTGCTCTAGTCACTCCAATACTAACTATGCTTCTAAATTTTGTTTTTTCCTCTTTCATGTTGAAATAGCTTGTCTTCTCTAATTCTCTCGAAAGCCCATACAATGTTTAGATTACTCCGATGTAAAAAGAAATGACTTGTATCCAATTACTATTTCATATTAATTTTTCATTAAGGAAATAAGTTGCTTCCAAGTCTAGATTTAAGTACGTGTTTATTGAAGAGATTAAACTAAGCCAATATAAATGTTCATGTCTTAATGTTAAGAGGATAACAATTCTATATGAGCTTGGAAAAACACTAATAAATGTATGCATGAAGAACCATGAGGGTATCTGTCCCAGCATTATTTTAAAGGCCAAGAACCAAATGCAATCCTATCAAAGGGACTGGCGAGACTGTAGTACATCCATATGCTGGGAGTCCTATGGTAATGAACTAGCTAAGTATCAATTTGGATAGACCCATAGCTGAGGGGAGGGAAAAAAAAAAAAAGTTGTAGAATAGTATTTGTAGCATGATACCATTTAGATACACTAAAACAAGGCAATGCTACCTATCTCTATGATAACAAAAGTACAGAAAACTGTACTGGACCAACATAAAACGAACTTACTGAAGTAATCAACTATTTCAGTGAGGACACAGGGTCAAGATCATGTGGGAACAGGGAATAGAATGGGAATGGTGATTAAAGATGAATCTATCTATAACACTATTTCTTTTAAAAAGAGGTAATGGGCTTGTATATTATTTGCTCCTTTTTTTTTTTTTAAGTGTGCACATAGGTAGGACACTAGAAGCAAACATATACAACTGTTAACAGTGGTTAATTCTTCATGGTGGGAATACTGTCTCCATTATAGTTTTCAAATCGAATCACCACCCCGCTCCTCAATCCCATACCCAAAGTAGGATCACAGCAATGTCAAGCTAGAAGGAAACAACCAAGTATCAACAGTAGTCAACTTTGAGAGACTCCCGCATTAGTATTACTCTCCTGACTTTCCAAAATTTCTACATTGTGTCATTTGAATAGTTGGAAAAAAAAAACCCTTTCAAGTTAAAAAAAATTATAAACAGTAGCAAACATACTAAAGCAGACCCAATTATACATAGGTTATCTAATACTGAACCATTTTAAGGAAAATCAACTATTTTATTTGATCTCAGATCAAATAAAATAATAAAAAATAAAATAAAATAATAAACACGTTCTTGTTTAAGTATTATAAATTCATTACCCCCCCCCCCCCAAAATCAAAAAAGATCTTCAGGTTATAAGGCATGTGATCCTCCAGATCAGTTACAAACGGGAATCTACTGCTATCACAACTGCCAAGAAACTTCCGGATGAGTGGGAAACACTGATGTTTAGCCACTAGATGGTTTAATTCAAGAGACTCATTCTATTCTGTGAAAAGTACTTTGGCTTGAGGACACAATTAAAAACTTAAAATTCATTCTTGATGCTTAAATCCTGCTTCTGCTACATGGTTCATGAGTAACACCTAGGAAAGCAACATCTACGGCAGAGGTCCCCAGTGCTACAATCTAAGAAGCCCCTGGATAGCTCTTTATGAACAGAAGTACTCTGCTAGAAGGTGCCAGACAGGAATGCTGGGGTGGGGGCTGCAGTTGTAAATGGGATGGTCAGGGAGGGCCTCGGGGAGGTGTCAATTCCAAGGAGGTAAGGGAGGAATCCTTTAGTATCTAGGGGAAGAGCATCTATACAACACAAACAGCCAAGCGCAAAATGCATCAGTACTTTGCTTGCTGTGTCTGAAGACCAGCAGAGAGACCAGTGAGGCTGAAGCAGTGAGTAAGGAGAAGCCAAGAAGCGAGGTCAGAGAGGTGATGAGCATTTGTGGGCCCTTTTAAGGGTACGGATTTTAAATCATTCTGAGGTGGGAAGCCAGAGACTTAGCTAAAACAGTGATACATACAATCCCTCTGTAAAATTTTTGTTTCTAACAAAAGCCTTATCTCTAAGAAAAAACAAAACAAAACAGGTGAATAAGGAAACAGCTCAATCAGGTCACTGCACCTTAGTGCTGGGGACAGAACAAAGGTCTCGAGCAAAATGGAGTGGGCGGTCTCTCCCACAGTAAAAATGAGGTTTAAACAATCTGATGGCACAGGGAACCCCAAAGGTGTTAAGAAAACAGCTTGGGTCAAAAGAGCTTTAAATGTTTACCAAAACAGTCTCTGAAAGATTAAGGTGCCTCCCTCCTGGTACAAGGTCTGGAGATTACATTTGGAATCAATAGAGTTTCCACACTGTTTTCAATTAAGTCAAGATTCTGGCTTGGCTGAATCCAAGAGTACATAATAGTGCCAAAAAGGACTTAGTAAACATACTCTTAGTAATAAATGGGTTGGAGCCTAATCCCCAGTGCCCCTGCTAAGTATAAAACATCATCTGCGCTCTGAGACAGAGGGCAAACTCAGACGGGAAATAGGAAAGGATTCACAAGGACTTCAGTTCTGGTCCCAACCCTGCTATTAACTGCAAGCCCTGGCTAGATCGCTTCACTTCTGTGGGTCTAGGTCTTCCCATGAAATAGCCAGACTGTATGATCTCCAAAATCTCCACTCTTCATTCCGTTAATAAAGGGACTATCAGCTCTAACAATCCAGGATTCAGTACAATGGCCAGAGCTCTGGCAACAGAGGAGTTTAGAGGAAATGTCCAATAGTTAAGTCCATAAAGGAAATTAATTCTGCAAGGCACATTTTTAGGTACAGAAATATTCTGGAGCATGTAATACAAGGCTAACAACATGCTAAAATACCATAAAGAGATACAAAATCCACGGACTACTCCAAAGTAGGCAGAAACAGTTTATAACCTTGCCTCGGAGGAACACATTCAGCCAGACCGATCCTACCCAAGAAACAATCTCCAGACTACAATGATCTCTTCCTATACCAGGCTTTTTCAACTGTTAGAAAAACACCCAAAGCAAATAAACAGAAAGGAGTGTATCTCCTTTATATCTGCTCTCAGACAAGCTGTGGAGAGCGTTGCTGGCAAAGCCACTCACATTTTAGATAACGATGGCAACAATGGCCCTTCTGGACGAGAAGGGGAGGAGACAGAGAAAGAACAGGCTAGGAATTCGGAATTCAGAGAAGGAACATTCTCAGGACTGAGCGTGTTTGCCCTGGCACGTTTTCCTTCCTTTTGGCAATGCTATCACCACACTAATGAATACGTCTGCAGTAAGAGAATTTTCCCAACACTTGTTTCTATTCAACCAGGAACTATTTTGAAGATATTTTAAGAAAATATATTTTGAAAACTGCTTTTATGAAAACACGATAAGTGGAAG